TAGACAATGCAAGTCAGTCCCTGTCACTTTGAAGGCCTGTAATTATACATGGTTTGCGGTTGGCTGCTTTTTTACGGTGTTGGAACAGTGGTGACGAAACTGTTTGTCATAAACACAGAAGTCTGCACTGAATGAGCATCTGTTTGCTAAACAAAAATAGTTTTGAGCAAACGACCATGAAGCAAATGATTATTCGATGACAATATATTGGTTTATTTAGAAAATAAAGATATCTACAGCTTGAAGCCTTGAAAGACAGTACTTTATGCCGCTTTCCGGTTTGCTCCTTTTATGATATTGACTTTGTGACGCGCGGCTGACGACATTTTTGTTTTTGTGTGTGGGTGGGGGCGGAGTGGGGGAATTAAAAAAAAAAATCTCATTGAAGGGCATGACTATTCGTTGAGAAGATGAGAGATGCTGACCAGAGACAAATAAATAGTGGGTTTTTTCATCGATAGTGTCACTTTGTCGTATGATTTTGCGGTTGGCGCGTGATTTTGTGATCTTGAAACAATGACGAAAGGCTGTGTTGACCAATCAGTTGTATAATAAAGCACCTTAAAGATGAATACAATTACATAGAACAAATTCATAATATTTACTTTTCAAAGATGCTTTCACTTTACGCTTTATGGATGGCTTGTTTTTAACATGTTGACTTTGGAACAAGAGCTGACGAAAACGGCTTTTGTTTTCGTCATCAGATGACCTTCATAACGATGGGTATTCAGTGACACTGAATTGCTGCATTTAGAATAATCATGACAGTACATATATAAGTTTTTGTTGCAACCAGACCGTTGTAAAGCAATATTGAGTGAAAAATTGAAAAACAAACATTTATAACGTGTCAATCAATTAATCAACTTATTCTAAGAGTCGTCATCAATAAAGAGTGCCTTTTGAATTATCGATTATGAAATAAAAGGTTATAAATATTTCATTCATTTACATGCCCCCAAAGCATGAAAATAACTAAAAGCGACAACAATGTTATATGGAATCACTAGCCGCTTATAATCGTCCATAACAACCGTAATGAACATTTCAAAGCGAGAAATATATAGGTCAATCGAAAGCCAGATTTGACCTGTATTTTTTTACAATTCAAAGGGGCTAAAAATAAAGTTGAGTTCTGGTCATGCGATTGCATTGTGAAAGAAACGGTGTGGAATCGATCAGAAAAAGTTGATCATGTAGCATAATTTATAAGTATACTGCATGAGTGACACACTACATTGTATCCCGATTGCAAGAAGCCAATGGGCCTATAGGTATTGTCATAATATTGCGTAGATATTTTCTCTGGCCAGTTTCCTCATTGTGTAGCAAAGTTTGTGTTTACCTAAGACTTGGAACTACAAATCTATTGAAAAGGGAACAAAAGATATTCCGCCTTTCGACTTGTGATATGATGGACCTATTGGTGTTGTTGTACTGCGTCACAAGTTGTAGCACTATGCAGTAAATTTGGATATCATTCCAGTACATGTGATGTGTAGGCAAATTTAGTGGCTTAGCGTGGGTTCAGGCATTGGTGGACTGTCGGATACTGGGAGGGGGTACCTAACTTAGGCTAGGTTGAAGGAATGAAAACAATGCGAACAAGAACGGGAGGGGCAGAAGAGCGGGCTGCATCATCATTCCATCCCCTCCCTCTCTCCTTTCCTTTCTCTCACCTTTCTTGTTTTATTTCCACCATAGGATTGTTTGTGCCCCTGTGCCCCTCCCACCCCCCCCCCCCCAACTCGCTGTAGCTACGCCACTGGGATCATTCATTATTATAAACCATACTGCCATGCCGTTCACAAGCATTTTAAGCTTATTTGTCGATTCCGAATGTAGTTACTTTGTTTACATGATTCTGGAAATTGAAAGAAAATAATTGCGTCATTTGATTTGTACACATCACTTTTTTCATAAATGTTGTTTTGTATTGGGCCTTTTAGTACAAATCGTTGTGTAATTTGCTTTACATGATAATCATATTCAATAATAATCAATTCCTTTATTATTTTTAATTAGAAATCAAGTAAAACCATGTTCCTCCAAGATCCTGACATATGCCAAGAGGCACTTAAAACTAAAAGAATAAAACGAAAATAATACAATATATCCATTTTTCGAGATATCGAGTCTAGATTCAATCGTTATATCACATGCTAAAGGTAAACCCTCACATGGTTATCACGTGTTTGGTTTGAATGAATAGACATTATTGACTCACACGTCGGATGGGCGAAACATTATAAATTCAAGTCTATGGTTTCGGAACACGGTTTCTCACAAGGATTACACAAATCTCGCCAGGTACAGTCGAGTGGGCCCTTTATCGAGTCCAGTTTGAAGCCCAACATTATAAGACCCCTAACAATGGCACATTAACAAAAACGCTGTTTAGGGAAAACAACTGTCGAGTTTCAGAATTCTTTTCGATTCCATACCATAACTTGCTTCATTTTTTTCTTGAAAAGATGTATGCACAGCTCAACTACATGAAGACAAAAAATTGTCAATGCCTTTCCAAATAAATTGGTAACGATTTAGGAGCACAAGTCACCCTCCCTTCTCCCTCCCATTTACACATGTAGTGCTATCCATTGCCTTGTTTGCCCCCTTCCCCCTTCCAACTCGAGTTTTTTTTAATTCAGTTTTCTTTATGGATAACTGATTTTCTTACAAAACTGAAGATATGGCGTATACATGTAATACTGAATGAACGCCATTAAACTATTACCAACAACAACAACAACAACAACTTCTCACTCGAAATGGATCGACATCTCTTTGAAAGAACCCCTCTGGTATCAACAGGAATAATTTACGCGATACAAAAAGAAAAGGTGAAGCCATGACTTCAAAGGTTGATATAACAAGACTAAGCTTGAAATCGATTGCCATCCCTTTGAAAGAATTATCTTATTACAACAATAATTATTTATGCGATACGAAGAAAGTCGAAACCATGACTTTAAAGTTTATTGTAACTAGACAAAGCTTTGTTTTAAAACAATGAATGGGTCATTGTCATATCTTAATATAAACAGCGTATCATTTTCTTGGCTACCGGTTAATCAGAAGTATCAAGTGGCGGATTAAAAGTGCTCACATTTCAAACGTTCCATGAATTAAACATTCACTCATCATACACATCATACTGTACAGACAGTACAGCATATAGATTTGTATTACTTAGGTACCATACTCCTCGAATAAACTCCTTCATGATCCGGTAACTTTGTCTTAGATCCTCTAGAAATAATCCTTGATTTAGCTCATGCTGCAATGATAATTATAAACCTTTAGGTCAGTCAGACTTGTACGAGCCGATCGCCTGTCTGATTATCAAGATATTAATGATTGGAATTACAAATTTTGAAAACCGTTCGCCGAAAGGTTTTCATAACACTACAGTCTATTGGGGAAAACGAGTATGGTAAAACCGTTCACTCTAAGATTTTTACTTTTTTGAGTCACTTCTTGATCATTTTGAAGCGCGATTTTTTTTAGGGCTTCAATATTACACCATATCACAGACACTGGTAACATGTAGGACCGTGTATCTCAGATATAACATTGTTAAACGATCCCTTTAAGATTGTTTATGGATGAGTATAGATCGATAAATGTGAACAAAAAAAGAAGGGGGATACCGAAGAACGGAAGACATTGATAATGACGATGATAATGGTGGTGATGATGCTGACGGTGCTGGAAGTGATCGTGGAATAGTAATTGTAGTGGTAGTCATATGACATTGATGATCACGATAATGACAAGGACGATGGTAAGATTGGTGACCATGGAATTGGTTTCTTTTTCTTTTTTTGTCATTTCGCGACGTCTACAATCCGAAAGCCTAATTACTGTATGTACTTGATAATATACAATGAAAATAGTACAGTTTCCTGTTTTAATTTTGTTTAAACCTTCTTCTAGAAGATCCCCTGCCAATAAAGATATGTTTTCTTGTTCTCTTGAGACGTTTTTACAGTCAGGTTTGACTGTATGCACAGGGAAATTAAAATGAGTTAATTAAGTTAATAAACTATCAACATAAGTCTGCTCTATTTATGTATGTGAGACCAATTGGACGCGTTGAAAGTAAAATCAGTTTAAATTGTAATGGTATCAACGACAAAACCTAAAATAACAATAATCAACATTTTACAAGACCCTCAAGACTCCCCCAATTTCGAAGCCCCCCCCCCCTCCCCTCATGTCTGGTGTCTCCCAACCTTTCACCTACAGGCATATAGTGCTCCTGTTATAGTTCTGCTTTCATTCCAAGCCACCTGCCGCTATAATGGTACCCATTTTACGATCATAAAACTAAAATATACGCCAATGAGGGAAAATATGAAATAAAAGCATGGCATATAGGCCCGACATGAGGTAAATAAGTTGTGGTCCATGGCGAGGAAGATTATCACGAAGGGCATACAGGAGGTGTAGGTGTTCGTCGTCATCGTCGTCTTCGTCGTTTTCGTCATTATAAAGTCAACTCTTACAGACTGTCTTTTATTCATTACTCTGGGTGGATAAGAGTACGAGCAACATACTTACAGTATGTGAAATATAATGACATAGTGGGATCATGAGTTTGTTATGAGAAAACAATCCTTTAAAAAAAATACGATATGGCTGTTGATATTAAAATGGTATGAAAATGTTATCTCCTCACATTTGACTATATTTCTCCTCCTCTTTATAGTTTGCTTTGGGATAAAGAGAAAAAAGTATCAATAATCGTAACTAATCAATATGTAATATTTCATTTCTGGTCTAAACTGGTTCTACGATTCTCTTTCTCTGGAATTCGTTCGTCATGTTTCGGTTTCGGCACTCGCTGGTGCCCACCCAATTGGAACGCTCAGCACCGTCCCTCCGTTCGTAACGCAATATGCACCCACGTCGGCTAATGGAACTGACCATCAGCCAGGCGGAGATACCACTTTGATTGACAGCTTGCCAATCATCTGCTCATTAGCATACCACATGAATGCGTAATGAGGTAGTTTTAGTCGCCCCTTCGCTTTCGCTAAACCGTTTGCGAGAGGCTATATTTCTCACGACTGCTACACGAAGCTAGCCTGCTAGCTTGGATATTGCTCTCGTATTTCCATCACAACCTCCAAGAAACGCTTGTTTCTGAAGGAGAAAGCTATCATCTAGAAGAAAAAGTCGGAGAAGGATACAGGGAGTGTATCTTCGGAGAGCATAAGAGATGGCGAAAGCAATATTCTTGACGGCGTGCCTCCTGATTCTGCAGCAGGCATTTGCCGCCGAAATTTCAATCGGTAAGTGAAAGATAAATTATAATTTCGATCCTTTTCCCATTCAAATGGTCAATTCTTCCATATTAATTGATCAATGTAAGCTAGTATTACTTAATAATGTATGATTCGTGTCCGCGTTATAAATGGGAGATGAGTGTATTAATTGCATCTACCGGAAAAGATGATGCGGATCGAGAGCCGCAGTTGCATCTCGATTTTATGGAAACACAAAATCGACCTCAATTTGAGATGTTTATACCTTAAATTATTACATCATAGATAATGAGACGTGATCATTATTTATCATTTTATTTACATATTTCTTGTTATAACCATTTTAAGCGCACATAGTTTCATATAGTACAGTGCGATGCAATGACAACTGTTGTGCACTGTATATGCGCCTCGTTGGCTAATTACTAATTCACAGCCTCGCACAAAAATACGCCATTCAATTTGCAGGCGCTTTATTCCCCTTTTGTACAATACAATACACCCACAGGAAAAGCGGCAACCATTTGCATAAAATCGAACAGAGCATTTTAACACGCGATTTGTATACTGAACCAATGCGGTAAAAAAAGAAAATATAGTCAGCCCACAGTATAGATGTCTCATTAGTAATGGACCGAAAGTCAGCCGATTTGGCGGCCAGAACTCCTCCGTGCCATAACAGCGGGTGTCCCGTTGTAGGTCAGGATAATTCACCGAGGGCATATAAAGAGGGTGGGTTGGGGTTGAGGGGTGAAGAAGGAAAAAAACAAATGCTGAAGGCGTTAGAAGGGAACGGGGAGAATAATAAAACATCCTTTGTGGCTCAGTAACCTTAGACTTTCCAATTCACTTGAAAGGAAAACATTTAATATGTAGTACGCCTGAAGGAATTGGAAATGGAACGGAGATCGAACTCCATTGCCGAGGTCAGTTAAGAGCAGAGAATAAGAAATATTCCAGACATGTAATTTCTCAGGAAAGACTAGGAGAGAGAGGGGGAGGGGAGGGAGAATGTCCTATCGCCATAGTACGTCATCTCACAACTTTGCTATAAAAAAAATAATATACTATAATGAAATGTTCAAGGGTTTCCTAATTTCATTTAATTTATTTTCAAAACAATATTTGAAGATGAGAATGTTCCGCCATAAGTTACCATGAATGACACTGTCTTCAATAGATTTATAATTAAGTACACCTGAAAGCGATTCATCTCAACTAAAATTGAATACGACGAGAACAAAATGAAAATAGCAGCAGTCGTTATAGTTGTTGATTGATAAAGAATCCTTGGCAACCCACCTCTTGCATAGTTGCACTTTCTTCTGATAAGCTATCCAACACGGTATTCTTTAGAACATGAACCTCCGTGCTCATAAAAACCTGATTAACAAAGTATGCTAAACATTGTGGATGACGCGGAATTCAATCTGTAGAGCAAATAAACCTAACGGTAAAAACACAATGCTCTTTTCAATAAATGTTGGTTGGGTGGCTCACTCTTAATCCCGTTTTTGTTTAGCGCTCTCAGAGTTACAACCTCCCTAAAAATCGAAGTTCATTCTTTCGATACTCTGGGTCAAGTTCGCCCTTATTGTCTTCTTAATCACTGCCGAAAATTCGTTTTAGAAGGTTTTATGGAAGACCGGACGAGATAGGTAGATAAGTTCTTGGATTAGGAACAGGATTACAGTTCTAATTACAAATTTAGCAGGTCCTAAATTAGGATTACATTGATTTGCTAAGCCTGAGATGAGGCGGTTTCCTCGAAAGGTCAATGCCTAACCCAGGTTCAAGAGGAGATGACAAGGTATTCATCTTTAAGTGTGAAGCAAATTGTTTATACAAATAATACTTATTCAAGGAAAAGGGGATTTTGGAACATTCAGCTAAAATATTACTAAATTAACACCAATAGCTCACTCAAATTCTAAAAATAGATTATGGGAACTCAATACCTGTTGAGGTATATATTAACAGCGAATTAGTCCAAGAAAGATTGTTATTCAAGGAATAGGGAACGTTTGAACATTCAGATGAAAATAAGCAATGCTTAACGCGAGGCCAAGAATTTTAAATCAACATAATTATTAGAGGTATGCCGCACCAAATCTTAAAGTCAATTATTTAAAGAAAATACTAATTAAAAAGGGGGCTTTAGAATGCCCCGTTTTAACATGTTACCCTTCACATTACAATTGGTTTTTTTTGAGGGACGAGACATTTTTTCTACAAAAGACTGATGGAGAAAATGTAAGATATACGGGCTTTCATTGACTGTACGATGCTACATCTTAAAACATCACAATTTATTGGTTTTCTGCACACATACAAATTATTTCCAGTCAACCTTGGTCTATATATTGGATGGTAAAACGCGTAATAGATCCATGGTTAAACTTTGGATCAAATTCCAGTGCCCTATCTCATGTATACGTGGTCTTGTGTTTTGGGATTGTCACGGCGTCTAAACACACTTGAAATTTGAAATACTACTAGGGCAAAGAGCTAAGGTTCGAGTGCCAAGATCTTGTTCGTTTACGCTATTAATATATACAAAACGATGAATGGAGGTTGGATGGATGATGAGAGAGAGGTGCAGAGAGAGAGAGAGAGAGAGAGAAGGGGAATGGATCAGCAACGAGAGATTGGGAAGAGAAATATAGATGTATTAGAAAGAGAGAAATCATAATAAAGTGAGGATGAGATAGAGTGTGTGAAAGAGAGAGAGAGAGAGAGAGAGAGAGAGAGAGAGAGAGAGAGATAGAGGAGGATGGGGAGGGGGCAGATAGGGAGAGAAGTGGAGGTATTGAAAGGTGGAAAGAGTATAGGGTTAAATATGTTGAATATAGTATCCGGCAGTTGGGAATATAATTGTTAAGAGAATTTGAAAGAGTTGGGGAAAAGAGAGAGAGTCAGACAGAGCTAGAGAGAGAGAGAGGAGATAAACACAAAGAACATCGAGGAATTACGACTAAAATAGGGATAATGTGAGAGGGGTGCAGAAGCGGTGAGAGAGCGCAGAAGAAATGGAGAGTGTGCAGGAGAGAGCCTCTCGGAGTTTACTGGGTTTCTCCGAACTTGACCTCCATTTCTGCCTTTGACTCGAAGCCTCCATTCTCTTCCCCCATCATTGAAGTGAATAAAACACGATTTATACACGACTGGTAAGGATCAAAACAAAGAGGCGGGGCCTCCAAAGCGGAGACGAGACTAGCAAAGCACAGGGGCCGGGGACCTTCATTTTAATGGTAGTGAAAGTATGATAACCAAAACGAACTCGAGCTAACATGAGCTAAGCTTACATGAATTCAGGAAATAATGACAAGTGGCAAAGAGAAAATAAGAAGCGAAAAAAAAAAAAAGGGGGGGGGCTGTCAAGTACGACACATATTAATTATGATGAAGTGAGGAGTGTAGGAAGCTAACATGGATAACATGCCCGAATAAACCTACTTTATGATATCATGACCCCAAAAAGTTGTATTCCCTGCCTCGGAAATTGATACGTAGTGGTAGCCATTAACCTATCTCAAGATTTATGAACTTAATTCCGGTAAATGATACTTAATTGGAATATGATACCCTCTTCCGAAAGGATGGGATAGGTTGAAGTGATAGCAGTAGAATAAGAACCAAAGTGGGTTTGTACATGAGGATATGATAATAAGTCAATGAGAACAGGATATACAAAAAACCCTCACCCTTTTAGCATTTTTTTAGGTTAAGGGGACCCACGGGGGCGAATGAGATGGGGACGTTAATTGCTTTGGGGTTATAATTTCAGCAAACTGTTTTGAAAAATGATCCATGTTACTCGGGTGACGAACTAATACTCTGGAAACTAAAACCCAATTTCATTAGAAGCTCGCATGCCTGTAAACATGTAGATGCTGTTCTTATTCAAAGCTGCCTAAAATAAACTCCCTGAATAAACCATCTGCAATGCTATTTTAAGCACTGAGCTTGAAAAAACTTGATACTTAATCGAACACGGCGTTGGGAAAGGACAAATCTAAAGCGTCCTTTAAAAACAAAATAATTATTTATACTCTGTCTTTCGCTACACACTTAAGATGAACTCATTGATACACTGTCTTAACGGTAGGTCGAAATTCCCGCCCAAAACTTTTGTCGATTTTAAATTTAAAAAATCAATGTGTTTCGACAATGGTAGCGGTTTACAGAGACAGGTTTCACACCTTTCACAAGGTTACCCATTCACAGACTTCTGGAATAACAAAAGCCTATTATTTACTCTGTAAATGAATGGAGTGAATGTGTCTTACAAGTGTACTGGTACGACGATAGACCTGCGTAGAGTAGCAATGGGCTAAAGACTCCCCATAGGGAAGTCGTTGTGACTATTCGTTTTGCTAATGAAGCAAATTATTTGTTAAATGCCAATCATTGGAGCTCATTAACCTATGGAAGTGTATTCATTCCAATACTTGTTGAAGTAATGTCTTAGATTTATATGATAGGTTTTAACCACACAGAACTAGCGCTTAGAGATTTATCATTTATTTAAATTCGCAACAATTATTTTTAAAGAAAAGACGAAACATGTCACGCATTCGAGTAGTCTAGTAGTCTTCTCACTGATGTGAATTGTCGCCCTCTCTCGGGGAATTCCGTCAATGTACAATAGCTGTTGCCTCGTTGATGCTCCTTTGATACAAGCGAATACTGAGGACAGCCCGTGAACAATGAAATAATACAAACTTTATAATGTAAAAATATTAAATCACATTGATATGATTGAATGATTATTCAAATATATGGTTCTTCAGTTGCCTTGAATATTCAATTTAGACATCAATTTTCGCCTATGAAAATGATTTCTGGTTATACAGAAAACCTCTCATTCAGAACCTTGTACAAAGTTACAAACCATTGGTTTAGATTTGGTAATAAATGTATATGACTTCTTTGTTTGAATTAAATACAGCGATATTGGTCAACATTTCAATGTATGCAATGAAATGCTACTGGATGTATTATCAAATTCATGTCAGTTATGTTTCTAATTTTATTACACAAGTATGAACATACTGATTTATGAAATCAAATGCAAGACGTAATAAATTGATATTATTATTCTTAAATAGCTGAAAGTTATACTACTTACATTTGTTATATAAATGAAAGACCTTATTGGTGTAAGCAATATAGTTCATGGTATAACATATTAAATAGACAGGGTGATCTGCTCCATTCCATTTTCTTATTAGCAGTAGCGCCATCTAGAGTTGGCTCAACGATTCACCTTCAGTTTCGTTGCACATTTATTTCCTCTACGCAGTACACGCCTAGTTGAACACATACAGAACACCTTTACATTACAATAGCAAACCAATGTACTTCAAAGTAATAGGATTGCCATGTATGTAGACCACAACACAAATGACGGTTGAGTCAGACGCGGGAATTTTCTTTGTAGTCATTTCGCAATGGAAAATGGTACCGCCGTGTACCAGGTTATTATTCAAAAACAAAATGGGCGCTGTGCATTTGAACGGATTACTGAAAGCCAATCTTCCCTGTCGTTAATCATGGATATAATCTATAAAAAGAATTCGAGTAACGTAGATTGGATAATACGAAAGTAGAATGACACAACTACATAAGAAATCCTAATTCCTTTAATTTTCTAAGCTACCCCGAACAACTTGATTTTACCAATTTTTAGTCATGCAAGCACAAGAATGATTAAATAAAATAGTTTTAACACAGTCCTATTCTATATTCTATCAATGTTCTCTATAAATCACTCGGAAGGGATTCGTCTCTTACAAATGTAATACAGTAATTGAAAAGTGTACCTAACGCACGCAGGCATACATTTCCATTAAACAGTATATTTATACATGATAAAATACAAAGCATTCGGTCATAGGTTTTCACTTATCGGTCATCTAGAAATGTGGTATTAAAAGTAAGGGAAGTTGTACACTCTATAGAGGAGGAATTGATACAAGAAAAACGATAACCAAGCCTAAAAACAAAACATACAAAAAAACGTATCCCCTGTCATGATGAATAGTATAGTATTGTATTACTACACACATCGTATATTTCGTGAGCCATGAGGTTGGAAAATTCGATTCTAGGATAAGGATAAGGATAAGAAACAATATGAAAGAATGAAAGAATAATAATTTCAAATGTCATTCTGTATACTACATACAGCAGAGGAGTAGTCATAGTTCAATGAATGTCGCCATCTATCGATGGAATGTGGCCAGTCACACTTGTAAGCCGAGAGAAAGGCTCGAATGCTTTAGAAATGACTAAATCGAAATGGAACGCGGAATTTCGAAAACAACCTATTGTCCTGGCTTTACTGACCATGAAGCGTTGCAAACCTATTCAAAAAACCGAAAACTAACCAGGGAACTTTGAAAAGAAACTGCAATTTGAATAGCAGCTGCGGTTTGAATCCCTGTATAGATAATATATCGTGAAAGGATGCATTTGCCTTTTGTTTCCTTTCATCTTTTCAAATTGACTCTATTTTCAGATAGTCATCTTGGCACCAAGGGGGGGGGGGGGGGGGGGCTATGCGAGAGGGTTATATTAAAATCGGGTCAGGGTACATTCGTTGTTACTCTTTTGTGTGCTGTAATTAGAATCCCTACACGGGGAAACGGCTGTTGTAAATGATGTTTAATAGGCCACTAGGAGTCGCCATTTTTATAGCCTATAATTTGACAGCGTAGGGTATCATAACGTCATGATTATGATATATTGAATTAGCACACTATATATTGAATCTCTCTTCAATTACGTATGATAATATATACTCATTTGGTAGTCAATCATGTTTAGTATGACTCGGATTAAAATCAGTATACTTTGTAAAAGAGAGGCGTCAAAATCTCGACAATATAATAATGGGTTGTGTATAAGGAGAAATGATTACTCATTCAAACAACAAAGTTCCTTTATCTTCTAAAACTACTTTACAAAACTGAGTGTACGGTCATAGAGGCGAAATAAGCTCTGTGAAGGGGGCGTGGTGGTGATGGTGGTAATGCAAATCCAAAATAAAGTTATAGACATGAAATAGAAATTATGCACTCACAATCATGAATGACAAATGTATAGGCCTACTGAAAGCGCATATTTTCTGACAGCTAAATTGTGTATTAGGGTGATGATGTGTATATCGTGTATTTCATATTTTCGTGTCCACTGGAAACGCATGATGGAGAATGATATTTTTCGATTTTGTCATTTTGACCCGGATAAATCCAGATACAATGACCTTTGACATGTGTACAGTATAGGCAGCTGTATGGTAGCGTGCACAAAACGATCATAAACAAAAATCGGCCAGTCTCCAAGACTCCAGTATCCAAAAAAATAATCCACCAGATTAGGTATAGACCTATGCTTATTCGGACCCTTTCTCTCTCCCCCCCAAAATCCACTAACGTTATTACTGATGTTGTCATTTCGACCCAGATAAATTCAGATGCAATGACATTTGTCATGTGTACAGTAGGCAGCTGTGTTAGAACGTACATAAAACGATAAACAAAATCGTCCAGTCTCCATGACTCTAACCAAAACAACGACAAAATATTGCACCAGATTAAGTATATGCATATTCAGACCCTTTCTCTATACAAAAAATAGTTAAAAAGAAATTAACTAGTTGCTCACTTCTAAACATAAATGATTGATACATGTAAGTAGGGTTATAGGGATTGTTCAGGCCTTTGAGTAGATAAATGCATCTTTACGGTGAAGTCCGCATGTAAACCAATACTTAAGATATATGTATTCCCACTTTAGCAACGAAAAATGTTCTCACATTCCGTTGGAATTTAATGATCGCGTTGTTGAATGCAACCGAATAAAATAATATTTCATTTATCGTCTTATATTCGAGTTATTACATACAGAACTCACGAGTCTATGTTTTATATAATTTTCTTGGCGCGTTTTTCTGTTAATATGCAGTAATCATGATAATTCATAGTGATTTTATTCGAATAACAGAAAATGAAGTCGGGCAATGCAGTCGGGCAAACCTCTTTCAAGCTTTGTGTTCGACATGAGTAATTTTAAATGCATTTCTGAAGAAATTCTACCATTTGGCTATACCCACAACGGTTTCCAACTCACAACAACCCTTTTCTAACGATACCCAACCCGACCTTTGACCTCTTCCACAGGGGCATTCTACGGTATGATGACCGACAAGGACGACGAGTACAAACGAATCATCGACGACGCCGTCGATTACGTAACCAGACAAGCATGGAGCAATCAAAACACCCTCCGAGTGACCCACTTTCAACCCGACACGAACGCCCTAGGAGAACCGGAAGTGAGCACCAATATCTTCCAGGCTGTCCAGATTGGTAGGTAGTCAGTTTTATTTTCATTTTTTTGTTGTTTTTTGTTTTTGTTTGGGGGGGGGGGTGGGGTGGGGGGAGAGGGGGCGAAACCAGCCCGGAACCCCCTATTTTAAAACTCAATAGGCATATTAAGAACACAGCAAGATCAGCACCCCCCCCCCTCCCCGTAGTTGGGTAAATTGTAGAAATATTGTTCCCCCTTGAAAAACAAAATTAACGGATCCACCCCTGCTTGTATTATTCATTTTCAGGGTTTAAGCTTCCACAAGGTCTCTAGAATGTCCGTTCTAAAAAAAAAGGTGACATCATTTCAATTTAGTCATTGGGTTCAGTTAGTTTCCAATAAATATCTTCCATGTAGCCAAGAATGAAGCAACAAAGATTCGAACAATGATTTGATGATCTCGAACACATGAATTTCATTTTCATTCCCTATAACGGGGCTTTCATATAATAGGAGTCGTCTTAATGTCAAAAACTTTGCCGTCATGATTTTTCTTGTAGTTTAAATTTAAATTTGGTTGAACGGGGTCGGGGAGGGGGTTAGTCTTAATGTGAATTTGCTCTTAGACGTTTATTAATGCCAATTTTGTAAGACTTACGTTGACGGATTTTCAATTTTTCACATTTTAGTCCCAAAAAAGTCAACTGGAAAATTTGGAAACTTTTTGTGTTGGTTACCAGATATTTTTCAAAGTGGTACCACCACTTTTAAAGAATCCTGGATCGCCTCGACTACTTATACCCGATCTTTATTTATTTTCCCCCCAAAACCTACAGAGGTATGCGCCGATGCCCGCAGCAGTAGCCTTCGCGGTATCGTGCTGCCTCACGACATCTGCATGGATTGTAACGACATCAGCGGTGTTATCGGCGACGCCATCAACCCAATGGTCGCCATTGACCTGGCTGGCGGAGATTACTCCATCAAGCTCTACCCCGATGTCGAAGACCTCGTCGATATGTTTGCCGAGGTCATCAACTACACCAAGTGGCGCGATTTCCTCCTCATCTACGACGGCGACAACGGTAAGAAGAATATATGGGGAATATGTACGCTTGCCCGAATGATATTGTTCTTATCTTTTTACTTGAAGTGATTCTTAGACATAGGTATTACACACGGCTGAATATGTTTTAAGATGTAAAAATCATCCTTTATAGATTCAGTTGACCTAAGGATTAGGGGGAATACTGCAATTTTAACAATTTAGACTAATCGAAAATATTTCAAGAGAACATCCATTTCATTTCTGCATAATTTCCTTCTCAGTAAAAAATACTTCTTCGAACCGGGTTGTTCTAAGTACCTGATCTGTTCCAAGTCACCAACCATTCCTATGGTGTATAGTTTGATGTCTTCTGTTACATCATTGTTGTTAAATCACAGCTAATCCCTTGCACCTAGTTCTGCCACTAAAATCACAGGAGAGAAAAAAGTCACAAACGCGATGACTACGAGTTCCCTATCTCATTGCAACATTCTCTGACTGTCTTTGAGTAACCATAGAGACCATTTTGATCTTTCTCTTGAACAGCCCAAGGAATCGTGGAGGAGATGACCGCCCAGGCCAACAGCCGAAACCAGACCATCCAGATCCTTCCTATCGGTGATGACATGATGGAGATGCAGAAGACCATCGAAGAAAGTTCCATCAAGAACATTCTCCTCTTCTGCCAGTACGAGGAGATCTGCCTTGATGTTGTCAAAATGGTAGGTTCCTTCGTCAACGGTGTCGCCAAACCTCCTCTTCTTCCTCCTCTTGCTTCTTTTCATCTAATCTTATTCTCCCTCTACTCCTCCTCCTCTTCTCCTCCTCCTCTTCACCCCCTTCTCTCCATTCTTCTTCTTCTTCTTCCTCCTCTCATCCTCCTCCTCCTCTTCTTCCCCCTTTTCTCCATTCTTCTTCTCCTCCTCTTCACCCCCCTTCTCTCCATTCTTCTTCTTCTACTTCCTCCTCTCATCCTCCTCCTCCTCTTCTTCCCCCTTTTCTCCATTCTTCTACTCCTATTCATTCTCTCCTTCCTCCTCTTCTTCTTCTTCTTCCTCTTCTTCTTCTCGTACTTCTCCTTCTTGTTCTCCTTCTTGTTCTTCTTGTTCTTCTTGTTCTTCTCCTTCTTCTTCATCTTCTCCTCCTCCTCCTCCTCCTCCTCCTCCATCTTCTCCTCCTCCTCCTCCTCGCCCTCCTCCTCGCCCTCCTCCTCGCCCTCCTCCTCCTCGCCCTTCTCATCTTCTTCCTGCTCCAGATCCCCCTAATCAACATTTCCATTTATAGTCAACACAGTCGTTAAGAATTCAAAAAAAGAAAACAAACCTAAGGCAGTTCGAATGCCCTTGTTCATCATCTCTTGCAATGTGTAAATATTTCATTGACGTATGACTTAATTCAATTATGATTTATATGCAATGTCCCTTAAGATGATTTCTTTACAGGGCATTCTGAAACATATGAAATGTGAGTTAAAGATGATATGTATTCGGGTTTTCTCTTTTTATTTTCAGGCCATTGATGAAGGACTTATGATAGATGGGTACCATTGGTTCCTTGGCAATATTGTGAGTATTGTGATTCGCATAAGACCTTCTGATCCAGCAAAATGATTTTAGAAGATGCACTCCCATTGCGCTTAACAAAAAGAACTTGAGGACTCTGCTATGTCATATTTCAGAGGCAGGCAAGAATAATAGAAGTTCATCGCTTTCATTCATTCATTTTCAACCAAAGACTATTGACCAGTCCTAGAAATAATCTTTCATGAATATCGGCCATGATATTCAAATCTGCTTGCGGTTCTTTGTGACATTATCTAGGAGAATACAATTTTTTAAACAATGTGATACATTTAAATATAGACCCTTGTATCTTACACGAGAGGTCCAGGATTCGATCCCTGCACGACATTTAGTGCTTACATCCTTGAACATGGTGTTTTACCATGTCCAACTAGTTATCATATATGAAGAGTTTAATTCCAAAAGGAGCTAAATCAACTTTAGATGAAAATTGAGTTATTGATATCAGAACTTTGTTCACTTAAGTACTCGTCTTTGAACAAAAGTATTTACCTAATTGTTGTGAGCAATTATGAAAAAAACACCTTTTAATATCATTTGAATAGACGCCTGTACGAAATCTGGTAAACAATTCGCTTTTCTCTGAAGTTACAAAAAATGGATTTAGCTCCTTTTGGAATTTTACTCTTCATATGTCCCTCTCGGACCAAGTGTAGGCACATTAGCCTAACTGGTTAGACCTTAGTTGGAAGACCTAAGCTGGTAATACTGCGGCTACTCGTAATGACAATTTCAGTGTCCTGGTGAGGAGCAGTATGCCTATTGATAACGGGAAGGCTTCCCTGAGTATTAAATAAAACAATTTTTTGGTAACATTTTCATTATCAAAATAGTGAATGATTTCGTCACTTTCATGTCGTACAGGACTTACCGCTCACCTGGGACGAAGTCCGGCAGATCCGTCTAGACGGCGCCTACATCACCCGTCTTCAGATGAACAAGCAGGCCAACGTCAACGTCAGGTACACCACCACCCGTCCGGAGAACCAGGAGGAGTGGCCTTTCCGACTCAAGAATGCCTACGACGCCGTCGTCCTGTTCGGCGAGGCCTTCGAAAGCCATCGAGCGCGCACGGGGTCTTTCCCGACTAAGGTTGCCCAGTGCCCCACGGCTTCGGATACCTTTACGCTCTCCTCTGTCATGCAGGATGTCAAAGAAGTAAACAAAAACAATTTTTTTTTTTTTAATTTTTTTTAAAATATAATAAATATTATTATAATTATTATTACAATTATCATTATAAATATATTTAAATATGAATAATTGTAATCTCATATAAACACGACACCAAAATAACAACAGACAGAACAAAAATGCATCATCCCTAATTACCATGAGTTGGTCGGTTGGAGTCGTTTTTGGTGGAGTAAATAAGGAATAAACCATGCTGCTCATCTTGAAGCTATTGTCGTAATTGATGGATGATAGAAGTGATAACCATGTCATCAATATCAATTACGGCAGAACTGGATCAAATCTTTCCCTTCTTCAATTTCAGATATAAGTCAACAGCCAGAAGGAACACAATTGTTAGATTGTAAAGTATTGGCCACTATAACCTTGCATCTTATAAAGGATTCCTCAATGACTCTTGTTTAATTCCAGAGGATTTTTATCCATAGGCTGGAACCATCTTACATGTAAATTGGGCAGGAGCAAAAGTTCAAGAATAATTCAAGAAAGGAAGTGCAAAATGCAACAAAAAGACAACAAAAAAAGACAACATTGTATACAATGTGGTTTTCAATCAATCTTAATGACCCCCCCCCCCCCCTCCCCCTTTTCTTCCTTTAGATCAACTTCGAGGGTTTGAGTGGCCACATCTCTTTTGATGAAAATTACCGTCGAACCAACTACTCCATCACTGTGCACCAGGGCAAAGGTCAAACCGTCTACTTCTACACGGACAATCAGGTATGAAGAAAGAAAACTTTTTTTTTCCAAAGAATTTTTTTATTCAATCTTTCTTGAGCAAGAACAAAACGATAGATTTGAACAAAGTACATATCGGTAAAACAAACATTGTTACATCAGTTGCACATGTCTCCCTTTTTCAAGTGATATAACGAATTTAATGCATTTGATAGAAAGACAACATAATGATAGAAAGTGATATAATTCCAGGTTGCCGTTGACTACCAACTTTGTTTGTTGATTCTTAACTATATTTGTCAATGTACCAGAACCAAGATAATCACGAGAAGATCCCTTGATGTATTTTTGTTTGTTGTATTTCTTTGTGCAAAAGTTGTCTTTGAAAGACGCATGCTGGGGTCGTGAAACGGAATTAGGGGGATTATTGTGTATCTTATACATTGTACATTTCTTAAAATTTCCTTATACCCGCTACCATTGCGTTTTGAAGAAAAGAAATATTTGTAAAGCAAAACAAAAAGTAAGGATATTGAATGAAATCTAGGTACCATTTATGATCTAGACATTGTGCTTCTCGTGTTATGCTTATTCTCAACTCCCGAATTCGACAGCACTATTTATGTAGTTATAGAACAGATTCTGTTAAGGGCTAATCGCTTGAGGATTATGATGTTAAATTTACTAATTATTTTTTTTTTTTTCTTCTCCTTTTCCTTCCTTTTCTTCATTTTCTTCTTCTTCTCCTTCTCTTCTTCTTCTTCTTCTTCTTCTTCTTCTTCTTCTTCTTCTTCTCCTTCTTCTCCTTCTTCTCCTTTTTTTTCTTCTTCTTCTTCTACTTCTTCTTCTTCTTCTTCTTCTTCTTCTTCTTCTTCTTCTTCTTCTTCTTCTCTTCCGTCTCCTTCTCCGTCTTCCTCTTCTTCGTCGTTCAGTACCGAGCTGCCGGTGAGTGGGTACAGAGTATCCCGCTATGGCGCCAGGCTAACCGCGGTATGACTTGGCCTAACCCCGGTTCACGACTTAACATGTACGAGTTCAGGAATGCTGAACTGAAGAGCATCATTGTTACGTCATTGGAGGTGAGTTAAGTTGTACTTCTCCTCCTCCTCCTCCTCATCACCATCACTATTAGAATCATTTCATCATTATCGTAATCATCAACATCATCATCTGCATCATCATTTGTTGTCGTCATGATCATCATAATCATCATCAGCATCATCAGCATCATCGTCATAAACCACCTAATTCATATTTATCTTAATCCACTTTTCTAAACGGTACATAGATCCAAATCTTAAAACTATGAAAATACAAATATTTTGCATCCCCATTCATGAAAATATTCCGACTATTCTTATTTCAGGAAGCCCCATACCTTATCGACAGCGGTCAGGGTTTCATCGGATACATCCCCGAGCTGCTGCGAGCCATCAAGACCGTAATGGAGAACGAACTCGGGCTCCCCTTTGACTATGAAATCGAACTGGTAAGCGAGGGCCAGTACGGACGTCTCGACGCTACCACTGGCAGATGGAGCGGTCTTATGGAGAAGCTTGTTGAAGGGGTGAGTGATTCGAAAAGAAAATACTGTTTGATTTACATGTAGGATATTTCTGCCGTTGCGACCGAGGCGTTATATGCGTGACGGAGGTCAGTAATAGCTGAGCCTTTTACACACTTTTGTGCATGGAAATGAAAAGGTCCAAACATTTCTTCTTGATGAATGGCGCATGCACCACTCACCCTCCCAGGTTTGATTAGCTCAAGGAATAACCCTTCGTTTAACACGGGAATTAATTAGGCCAAAGTCTTGGGAAATCCATGAAGTATTTTCTTCCAGAACATGACCAGTTTTTCAAGAGAATCAAATGGTCTTTCGGTGAAAATTATTCAGTGAAAATGAAGATTTGTGTAAACCTAATAACTGAACTCGTTATGAATATGAGCATTATCTCAAGTGCCAAGTTATTTAACATTGACATACGTCTCTGTCAGAAGTTTGTTTCAATTTTTGTTGGTCTTCTTAAAATTGGATTTTCACAAATTACTGTAATTGTAAAGGTTTTCCATCGGAGCTATGTAGTTGATTAGCTTTAAAATAATGTGCATTTTTCTCTTTTCTTTTTCATCATTAAAGTACGCTGATATCGCTGCTGCTCCCATGGCTGTCACCAGTGAGCGAGACTTGTACATCGATTACACCGTACCCTTCCTGAAGAGTGACTTGGGTATCCTGATCGAGCATCCTAGCTACGTCTGGGAGCACCCCTTCGTGCCAGTGTTCCCCTATGACTGGAACGTCTGGATCTGCAACTTCGCCGCCCTCTTCGTCAGCGGAATCTTCCTCTTCCTCATCTGCTACTTCAGCCCCTACGAATGGCGAGCGAAGTCGCAGCGGGGCGAAGCCACCCCCGAGCAGGGCGAGAGCTTCAAGTTCACGAACACGGCCTGGTATATGATCACCACCATGTACCTGCAGAGTTATGATGTCTCCCCTCGCTCGATGGCTGGACGCATCCTCAGCGCCTTCTGGTACTTCTTCATGCTCATCATGGTGTTCCTTTACCTCATCAACCTGACCCCTTTCCTCAAGGCATCCAAAGGCATCATCCAAGTGCGCGATGTTGGTGATCTCTTCGATCAGACCACCGTCGATGTCGGTTTCGTCAAGGACAGCTCTGCCTACGACTTCTTCCGCGATAACCGCATTCCCGAATACAAGCGCCTCTGGGAGACCGTTCAGTCGGCCGTGTCCATGTACCGTGACGACAGCGGTATCGTCCTCGAGGTGGAAGATGGTGTCGAACGAACCAGGTATTCGAACGGCAAGTACGCCTTCATCCACGACCGACGCGTTCTGGAGCAAGGCTCCAAGCAGTGGCCATGTAATTTGGTCATTACTGGGGGAAGCTTTGCTACTGTGGAATACGGGTTGGCTGTTGCTTCAGGGTCACCCTTGAGGGATCAGCTGTCCTGGTGTGTCGAACGGCTCATGGAACGTGGTGTCTTGGAAGAGATGTGGATCAACGACACCTGGGTCGATCCTCAACGCCGTGGACCCTGCAACAATCAACGTATGTCTTACTGGGAGCGGCAGGCTCTTTACTCGCTCACCGGCGCCGATCTACAGGGTATGTACTACCTCATGATCATCGGCATGGGTTCGGCAGTCATCATCTTCGCGTTCGAAGTCCTTGCCTTCCAGTTAGGTGTAGGTGCCAACGCCCCGCGGGTCAGTCGGAACGATGCCCATGAAATGCGCCGCCCACAGGCCGCTTCATCGGGTGGCGGCATGGGCGGTGGCATGGGCGGTGGCATGGGTGGTGGTGGTGGTGGTGGTGGTGCAAGTGGTGGTGCCAACGACGGGAAAATGTGGATCTAGCCCCTTCCCCTCCCACATCTCCCAGCACTCCTTTTATTAAGTTTCTCTCTTTTTCATTTCTCAACGTACAGTACTCTATTTCAGTTTTTCTACTATAGTATCTAAAAATGTGTTCGGATTTCAAGATTCAGTTTAATATGGCTTAGTTTGTAATGTTTAATATTGTTGGAAATAATCCAATAGTTTATGATAGGGAAAAAAAAACATTTTTCAATCCTCTGTTTTTAAAAAGTAACTTAGTTGAATAAGACGTGTGTGTTTCATTTATCTTTTAAATGAAAAAAAAAACTATTTTTATTATATTCCTTTGATGTTAGTTGAAAGAATTGCCTATGTCTGTCTCGAACAATGGCTGAAACTCTTGTTACATTTGTATGGTTCCAAGTGAGAAGTCCTTCACCCATATTCCACCTTTTCTGTAGTTCTGTCGGCTTTATCAATAAATACGTCTTTTTATCAGGATTTGAAAAGGTTGTTGATCCGTTTTATCAGGATTTGAAAAGTTTGTCGACCCGAGTTATGAATGTGTACGTGACATGGGAAGGGAGAGAGAGAGAGAGAGAGAGAGAGAGGGGGGGAAGAAAGAGAGAGAAAGAGAGAGAGAGAGAGAGAGAGAGAGACAAAGGGGGACCGAAAGAGAGTGAGGAAAGAAGACGAGAGAGACGCGAAGAGAGAGAGAGAGATAGGAGAGGGGAAATGGGGACGGGAAAGTGGGTGGAAGAGAGAGAGAGAGAGAGAGAGATAGAGAAAGAGAGAGAGAGAGAGAGAAAGATATAGAGAGAGATGGGATGGAGAGAGAGAGAGAGAAAGAGAGAGAGAGATGAGATGGGAAGAGAGAGAGGGAGATGGGATGGGGGGGGGAGAGAGAGAGAGAGTATGATCGAACAGAATCGATGAGGTGAAAGTGACGATAAGGACGGATTGGCCAACAGAAGAATTGTGAGGGAGCAAGGAGATTGGTAGAAATTGAAGCTATGAAGAACGAAAAGGAAAAGGTTAAATAGCAGTCAAGAGAGGATGATCAAGGAGAGACTGAATAGACGAAATGGGATCGAGAGATTATAAATAAATGAGAAAGGAGAGAGCAGGGGATAAATAATATAATTGAAAAAAGAACGATATGAAATTGGAGACAAACCTAAAAGGAGAGAGAGTGAGAAATGAGGGACAATAAAAGCAGAAAAAACAGAAAATAGTGAAGCATGAGGACTAATTAATAGATATTAAATAATACAATTTATATACAAAAGAGTTGATTTGGTTTTTCTTTTTAATAATCGTTTCTTCTTCTTCTTCTTCTTCTTCTTCTTCTTCTTCTTCTTCTTCTTCTTCTTCTTCTTCTTCTTCTTCTTCTTCTTCTTCTTCTTCTCCTTCTTCTTGCCCTTGGGGAAAGGGACTTACTACTAGAATATGTTTGTGGATGGAATCGTGTAAAGATGTACACATATATAACTTTTATGATGGGAAGCCCTTACAAAAGAAATACGCACAAACTTAATCTTTAAGCCTACTTTTCAAACCTTATAACGAATAAAGAGTTTCCTTGAAACGCAACAATGCATTATTCCTCGAACCTACCTAGCCCAATATGTTACAACTTATGATTTTGAAACCCCTCTATCCTTTCCCTCCGAAAGTAACTCAAAATCCTAGTCCCTTATATCAAAGAGATACCAGCACTTATTTCCACACAGAAACATCGACTGTATTATATTTAATCATTTCTTAAAATAACTATTATCTTAAACTGATCTTTGTATAATACGACAAATTCTACCTTCTATCAAAGCATTACATTTTTCTGGAAACTTTCAATTTCCCCTTTTTTAGTGTTTGATCAATTAATTATTTCATGAGTCTACACAGTCATATATTTTAGATGGGGACTATCAAATAACTAAAAACAACGTGAATTTACAAGTATAGAAAACAACAAATTTTACAATAAAAGCGTCATCAACAACAACATCATCATCATCCTCCTCCTCATCATCATCAATATCATCATCCTCGATAATGAACAACCATCGTCCCATGATAAACCTGGTCGGACATAACAATCTAACTCTTTGTAACTGTAGATTTTAACTTTAACTGAACTCCTTCTAAAACGCTTCCTTATCAGAAGAGCAGCTGTAATCAAATGTTTATTCCAACTTTACTTCATGCGATCACCATTGTTTAAGGAATCCTTCCTCCATTTGGTTGTTTGTTTTAATTAAATATTTAATTTTTATTATCATTTACAGAATATATTTTATTTTTTGTGTTTTCGAAATACCACGACACTCAGTGATATGATTTTGCTTCATAATATTTCGAAACATCACTTCACTTCGAAACTCGGTTAACTAAAAGTTTTTTTTTAATCAACTAATTTCGCCTCCATGCTGGCTTTCGAAAAAAAAAAAAAATTACAAAAACACATTTATCAATGTGACGCACCCGATAGTTTTATCAAAACCAAACCAAAATGGTGCAGTAGTGAATGTTATTTAAGGTTAATACCAATATATCGAAATGAAAGATAAATTTAAATTTAAACTTAGCGGGATGATTTTGGAGATGTGGTTAATAAACACCCAATATAGTTTAAAATGACTAGGTAATCTTTTCTAAATATGAATTAAAAAACAATGCAAACTGCAAATGAACGTGAGGAAAGAAAGGCCACAAAATTGATTGCTATTACTTACCATGATGAAGCCGACCCTCCCGCTACATCCTCCTCTCCCGGGGATGTTTTAGCTCCTTGATTAAGCATTCAAATCTTAGAAAACTGTCAGTTCCCGAAACATGTTCAAGCTGCAGAAAAAGAAATACTTTTGCAGAGCTAACGCGAAATTAAGTATACATCAATGAACAAAAACGTCGCTTCTGAGAGGTCCACAGATTAATGATGTAATATCAAGCCACAACTTGATCAAATGAAGAAGCTCGCCGGTAGCTAAAGAGCGGACAGTTAGATGAAAAGCTTTCCTTTCAGAGCTTCTCCTCTCACTGAAGTTTTTTTCTCTCTCTCTTTGGTGAGGTCCGACCAAGCAGGTCGACGCAGCCACCGTCGAATTGAACTTTGCGATTGGATGGCTCTATACACAGGAATTAGTCTTGTACTCCATGCCTTCTTCTTAACTTGGTGATGGTTTCTGCTCCTGTGCTAGAGTTGCTCATTGGTCTAATTTCCCTCATTGAGTAAATTTCCAATTTCGCCACTTTGCCAAGTCTGATTTGAAAGGTTTTTGAGCTGAAGAAAGTTGAGTTTTGGTCATGTAATTGTATTGCGAAAGAAACGATGTGGAAGCGATTGGAAAAGTTGATCATCTAGCATATTATAAGTAGGCCTATTGGTGTGTACTGCAAGGTTCTGGAATCATAAAAATGATAAGAAATTAGGCCCAGTCTTGGTAAAGTTACAAACACTGTACACAGAAAGATGTATATGGGGCTACACGAACATGTGACATAAAAATCCGTCCCGATTGTTATGTTGTTACATGTCATATTTAGAATATGAAAGCATTTGAAGAGCCATGCTTTTCAGGGAACATTTTTTCTTTGATGTTCTTCCACACTTGCATAATAACAATGATAACGCTCACAAATTATTGTTCACCTCTTTCCAGAACTCAACCTTCTCCTTAAAGCTTTCGTTCTAGATCACTTTTCATGAGTTGGATTCCAGTAGGTATATACACAGAATTGAAAACAAAAATCGCTATCTGTTCGTTTGTTCGTCTATTATTCAGGGGGTATTCATCATTTCGTCTTCCTTTTTGGGTTGTCGAATTGTCAGCCTGTCCAATGCCCATCTGACCAATATCTATTCAGTCTATTCACCAGTTGGTCTAATGCCCATTTGATCTGTTACCGAATATATCCATACGGTGTGACAGCAAAACTTATGGCAATGGCTAAGATGCTTTTGTTGGAGGACCTGAATATTTAAGAAACAAAACTCGTAGTAGCCCTACTGGTCTTTACATACACTGATAATTAGATGAAGTAATTTTGGAATACTAACTAAATAATAGACAAACCGGGTTCAGACAACTTGGCATTACTCTCTTATAGGCCAAGTGAATTCGATTCTAGTCCGGAAATTTAAAAAATTACAAAAATTGGGAGAGAGGGTTCCATGTTATTCGATATTCTATGCTTTTTATGTACATAGAAATGCTTATTAGGGGGGTTTTAATTTGTTAGTTCAACTTTTCACGTGTACATGCGATACAGATGATTTTTAAAACAAGGTTAAACTGCATCAATGATTTATGTTGATCCTATTGTCTAGATGTCCTAAGATTGCCATTTATTTGTTTTCAGATGAAAAGTATAAAAATGATACTCAAATATAAAAAATACAATTGAGCCGGGCAGAAGAAAAAGAGTGAGAGAAGAATACGAGAAACTAGAAATTATTTTATTTGACTTTGTGGCAAAAGAGTGGAACTCCACTAGTTTAACTTTCAACTCCATATTACAGTGGATTCCACTTCGAATTAGTGGTTGATTTTTCTCTTTCGAGAGTGAATTCCATTCTAAAGAAAATGATCCCTAATATGACCCCCCCCCCCCCCTCAGTAAAAAGGACAAGAAAATGGATTCCCATTACTATGACTACATCACTTAGAGAGCACACGTCTTGCATGTATAAAGTAGTTGAAGTATAATGAGAAACAAATAATAAATATTTGATATTTATATTTATATTTTTTATCTCTGGCAAAAAAGAGGCATTAGGAAAATTACATTTTATTTATTTGTGATAAAAGCAAAATTGATATTTTTCTGACAATGGTTTTAAATTGCCGGAAATTGAAAAAGTACGGTGTAACAAAAGGCGTCTGTCGATTCTCCCAATGGTTTTATGAAAGGTGAAGTATTTTTCTTAACCATGTTGTTACATCTTAACATGTAAAGTGTACAATGAAAAGCTAAATTTCTCTCAATAAAAAACAGGAGAAAAAAAACACTATTAGTATCCGTGAAGTTATGCCCTTTTCAAAATGTATGTTTTTCTCCTTTTACGTCAGTGACGACACATGAAACGATTCCGCTGTAGACATGTTCTTAACAATTATTGTAATACCTGATTGGTAATCAATCTTTTAACAATTTTGTCTTGGATTGTTCGCGAAAAGCCAGCAATGTTCCTCGAACAAACAATAACAGCTTGTATACAAGCAAGGAATGCATACTTTGAGGTGTTTGCTCAGGCTCTTCAGCAAATATTCATTATCATTACTGCAGTTCTGTCTTCCGTTATGTCTGTATAAACAAAAATAATTGCAAACAGATAAGAAGTAATTCACGAAATATTCTGGAGTTCAATAACATTGACAACAAACCATGTCACGTTTTCCATTTGAAATTGACATTTAAGATTCATTATTCACGACATGTTTAGAAGATCCTCTCTATTATATTGGTATTGAGAAGGCATGACTTGCGATTCAACGTTCGGATCACA